TGCTTTGACATCACAGCTCACAGCAACCTCCAACTCTTGTGCTTAGGTGATTCTCTGGCCTCAGCCTCTCGAGTAACTGGGACTACAGGCTCCTGCCACAACACTCAGCTATTTTTTCTTTTGCTGTTGCAGTTTGGTCAGGGCTGGGTTCGAATCTGCCATCCTCAGTATATGGGGCCAGTGCCCTAATCACTGAGCCACAGGTGCTGCCCCATCTTTTTTATTTTATTTATTTATTTATTTATTTTTGTGACAGAGTTTCATTTTGTCACCCACGGTAGAGTGCTATGGTATCAGAGCTCATAGCAACTTCAAACTCTGGGGCTTAAGTGATTCTCTTACCTCAGTTTCCCAAGTAACTGGGACTACAGGCACTTGCCATAACACTCAGCTTTTTTCTTTAGAGATGAGGTCTTGCTCTAGCTTGGGCTGATCTCGAACCTGTGAGCTCAGGCAATCACCTACCTTGACCTCCCAGAGTGCTAGGATTATAGGCATGAGCCACTATGCCTGCAGTCTCCTTCTTTTTTAATGGCTAAATAGCATTCCATGGTATACGTATACCACAGCTTGTTAATCCATTCCTGGGATGGTGGGCATTTAGGTTGTTTCCACATTTGGGCAACTATAAATTGAGCTGTGATAAACAATCTAGTGCCAATGTCCTTATGATAAAATGATTTTTTTCTTCTGGGTAGATGCCTAGTAATGGGACTGTAGGATCAAATGGGAAGTCTAATTTGAGTTGTTGGAGGATTCTCCATACTTCTTTCCAAAGTGGTTGCATTAGTTTGCAGTCTCACCAACAGTGTAAAAATGTTCCCTTCTGACCACATCCACACCAGCTTCTGCAGCTTTGAGACTTTGTGATGTGGGCTACTCTCACTGGAGTTAGGTGATATTTCAGGGTAGTTTTGATTTGCATTTCTCTGGTGATTAGGGACGATGAACATTTTTTCAAATGTTTGTTAGCCATTTGTCTGTCTTTCTCTGAGAAGGTTCTGTTCTTATCTTTTGCCCAGTGGTAGATGGGCTTGCTCTTTTTTGTTAATTAATTTGAGTTGTCTATATATTCTAGTTATCAATCCTTTTTTTTTTTTTTTTGAGACAGAGCCTCAAGCTGTCCCCCTGGGTAGAGCGCTATGGCTTCACTGCTCACAGCAACCTCCAACTCCTGGGCTCAAGCGAGTCTCCTGCCTCCGCCTCTCAAGTAGCTAGGACCACAGGCGCTCGCCACAATGCCCGGCTATTTTTTGGTTGCAGCCATTATGGTTGTTTGGCAGGTCGGGCTGGATTCAAACCCGCCACCTTAGGTGTACGTGGCTGGCACCTTAGCCGCTTGAGCCACAGGCACTGAGCCTAGTTATCAATCCTTTGTTAGAGTCATACCATTTGAATATATTTTCCCATTCTGAAGGTTGTCTTTTTGCTTTAATTAATCGCTTTCCCGTTCTGAAGGTTGTCTTTCAGCTTAATTAATTCCTATTTGTTTATTTTTGATGTTGTTATTGCCACTAAGTCTTCCTCATAAAATCTTTCCCCAGTCCAACATCATCAAGAGTTTTTACCACACTTTCTTCTAAGATTATTATCTTTAGTGTCTTATATTTAAATCTTTTATCCATCTTGAGTCAACTTTTGTAAATAGTGAACAGTGTGGGTCCAATTTCAGTCTTTACATATGGTTATCCAATTCTCCCAGCACCATTTGTTGAATAGGGATTCTTTTCCCCACTGAATGCTTTTGTTTGGTTTATCAAAAATCAGATGGCAGTAAGAGACTGGTTTGATCTCTTTGTTTTCTATTCTGTTTCCATATTCCTATATCTCTATTTTTGTACCAATACCATACTGTTTTGATCACTGTGGACTTGTCGTACAACTTGAAGTCTGGTAGAGTGATGCCTCCAGCTTTGTTTTTATTACTAGGAATTGCCTTGGCTATATGGGTTTTTTTTTTTTCTGTTTCTATACAAAATGAGTACCATAAGTCTTATTTTTTCCAGTTCTTCAAAGTATGATATTGGTAATTTAATGGGAATTGCATTGAATCTGTTGATTGCTTTGGGTAAGACAGATATTTTAACAATGCCGATTCTTCCCAGTCAAGAGCATGGTATGTTCTTCCATTTGTTAATGGCTTCAGGTGTTTCTTTTCTTAGGGTTTCATAATTTCCTTTGTGGAGATCCCTCACCTCTTTTGTTAGGTATATTCTGAAGTATTTCATTTTTTTTGAAGCTACTCTGAAGGGAATTGTGTCCTTGATTTGCTTCCCAACTTGGCTGTTACTGGCATATACAAAGGCTACTGATTTGTGGACATTGGTTTTATACCCTGAGATGTTACTGTATTTCTTTTTTTTTTTTTTTTTTGAGACAGAGCCTCAAACTGTCACCCTGGGTAGAGCACAGCTCACAGCAACCTCCAACTCCTGGGTTCAAGCGAGTCTCCTGCCTCAACCTCCCAAGTAGCTGGGACCACAGCCGCCCGCCACAACGCCCGGCTATTTTTTGGTTGCAGCCGTCATTGTTGTTTTGGCAGGCCCAGGCTGGATTCAAACCCACCACCTTAGGTGTATGTGGCTGGTGCCTTAGCCACTTGAGCCACAGGTGCCGAGCCATTACTGTATTTCTTGATTACTTCCAAGAGTTTTATGGTTGAGTCCCTGGAGTTTTCTTTTTTTTTTATTTTTTTGAGACAGAGTAGTAGAATGCCGTTGCATCACAGCTCTCAACAACCTCAAACTCTTGGGCTTAAGCAATTCTTTTGCCTCAGCCTCCCAAGTAGCTGGGACTACAGGCGCCCCCAAATGCCTGGCTAAGAGTTTTCTAAGTATAAGATCATATCATTGGCTCGGCTTGAGCCCAGGAGTTGGAGGTTGCTGTGAGCTCGCTTGAGCCCAGGAGTTGGAGGTTGCTGTGAGCTGTAATGCCACGGCACTCTGCCCAGGGGGACAGCTTGAGGCTCTGTCTCAAAAAAAAAAAAAAAAAAAAAAGATCATATCATCATCAAAGAGCAAGAATTTGACCTCCTTTGCCCCCGTTTGGATGCTCTTTATATCCTTCTTTTGCCTGATTGCTCTGGATAGAACTTCCAGAACTATGTTGAATAGTATTAGCAGTAGTGGACATCCTTTTCTGGCTCCAGTTCTAAGTGGAGAAGCTTTCAGTTTTACTCCATTCCATATCATATTAGCTGTGGGTTTGTCATACATGGCTTCAATCAGCTTAAGAAATGTGTCACCTATGCCTATTTTCTTAAGTGTTCTTTTTAGAAACGGATGCTGAATTTTGTCAAATGATTTTTCTGCATCTATTGAGAGGATCACATTGTCTTTGTCTTTGCTTCTATTGATATGGTGAATTACATTTATGGATTTGTTTATGTTAAACCACATGTGCATCCCTGGGTTGACCTATAATTTATTCTTTTCTTCTTCTTTTTTTTTTTTAGAGACAGAGTCTCACTTTATTGCCTTTGGTAGAGTGCTGTGGAGTCATAGTTCACAGCAACCTCCAACTCCTGGGCTTAAGTGATTCTCCTGCCTCAGCCTCCCAAGTATCTGGGACTACAGGCACCCACCACAACGCCCGGCTATTTTTTGTTGCAGTTTGGCCAGGGCTGGGTTTGAACCCACCACCCTCGATATATGGGGCCAGCGCCCTACTCACTGAGCCACAGGCGCCACCCAATTTTTTCTTTTTTTTTTGAGACAGAGTCTCACTTTGTTGCCTTTGGTAGAGTGCCATGGCATCATAGCCTACAGCAACCTCAAACTCTTAGGCTCAAGTGAATCTCCTGCCTCAGCCTCCTGAGTAGGTGGGACTTTAGGCACCTGCCACAATGCCTGGCTTTTTTTTTTTTAAGACACAGTCTCACTTTGTCACCCTTGGTAGAGTGCTGTGGCATCATAGCTCCCAGCAACCTCCAAATCCTGGGCTTAGGTGATTCTCTTGCCTCAGCCTCCCAAGTAGCTGGCACCACAGGTACCCACCACAATGCCCGGCTATTTTTTTGTTGCAGTTTGGCTGGGGCCAGGTTTGAACCCACCACCCTCAGTATATGGGGCCAGCACCCTACTCACTGAGCCACAGGCGCCAGCCCAAACCTGGCTATTTTTAGAGAGGAGGTCTTACTCTAGCTCAGGATGGTCTTGAGCCTATGAGCTCAGGGAAGTCCACACCTGCTTCATACTCCCAGAGTGAGCCACCACTGCGCCTGGCCTGATGTTTAATTTTTTAAATGTATACCTGCAATCTATTAGCCAAGATTTTATTGAGGATTTTTGTGTAGATATTCATTAGTGAAATTAGTCTGTCGTTTTCCTTTTTAGTTGGGTGCTTTTGTGGTTGTGGAATCAGGGTGATGTTTGCTTCATAGAATGTTCTGGGGAAGGTTCCTTCCTTCTCAGTGTTTTGGAATAGGTTCTGCAATATAGGTACAAGCTCATCTTTAAAGGTTTGATAGAATTCTAGTGTGAAGCCATCTGGTTCAGGGCTTTTATTTTTGTTGAAAGCTTTTTTATTGTTTTTCAATCTCAGTGCTTGATATCAGTCTACTCAAGAAATCTATTTCTTCCTGGTTAAGTCTAGGGCAGTGGTTCCCAACCTTCCTAATGCCGAGCCCTTTAATACAGTTCCTGTGGTTTGTGACATCCTAGGACACACATAACAACATACATGATGGTCATGACCCAAAGAACTGTATCAAAGGGCCGTGACACTAGGAAGGTTGAGAACCACTGGTCTAAGGAGATAGTGTGATTCCAGATGTTGGTCCATTTCTTCCACATTGTCAATTTCTGGGCATAGAGTTTTGTTGTTGTTGTTTTTGTTTTTTAGATAACAAAATTCATATTTTTATTCCAGAGCTAACATTGAATAACACGGAGACTTTTCTAGCTCATTTCTCCGTTGGCTACGTACATGGCTTACTTTTGGAACTCATATTAATAATTTTAACATTATTTGAGGAGTCATAACATATTTTTTTAAACAAAAATCCAATGGTGGTTCATAAAAGGCTTTAGAAAATTATAGGCAAAAAGGAGTAAATTACAGGCCATTATATGTTTAATGATATGCAAATGCTGTTAAAGTAGAACATGATTGTATTGCTGTTCTTTGGGGGAAGAATAGATTTTTTTTTTTTTTTTTTTTTTTTTGAGACAGAGCCTCAAGCTGTCCCCCTGTGTAGAGGGC